CAACAATGTAAGAGTCCTCTAATTTAATACAAATGTATGTAACAAAACAAAGTAGAGAGATTACAAGAGAAATGTTCTAATGTTTTGAACGTTATACAGAATGCACATTCATTAGAATCAATGTTGAACCTAAGTCTAGAACATTCATTACAGGGAAAAATATCACTCATTGTTTTAAAGTGCACATATTTAGCTTCAGAAAGCTGATATATCTGTGAGATGTGTTTTGAATGAATGAAAAGCTGGTCATGTTAGATACGATATCTTGGTAAGAATAGAGAATTGAAAATAAAATGGAAATTAATTTAGAATATCTTTAAAATGAGCAAGAGCCAAAAAATGCTTTCTCCTCCTTTAGCCATCTAAATGAAGCAGATGAGGCCCAATACACATTTACTTAAATTATGTTTTGTTTATTTAGATTTATTAAACGGATCAATGTAGTCTATACCAACAGAGTGTAGGTGGGGGGGGGGCTGTGTTTTTGCTTTAGGTCACCAGAGGTCAGCATTGCACGCTGGGCAGACTGCTGCTGTCAAAGGTGGGGGAAGATCCAGCTCCTTCGATGGCGTTTAAACAACAGAATATACGTATCAGTGTTGTTTTGTCACGTTCACAGATGCATCGCTCATTTTGAAGGATGGTTACTTTCCTCGGACTTCGCTGGCTCGGGTTTATGGAGCAGTTTTGTGAGAGGAGCTGCTGCGCTGCGCTCTCGGATGCGCAGTGCGCTTTGCTGCTGAGTGCTGCTGCTGCAGTGTAAACAAGACTGACGCCGTCCAGGGTCTGCAGCGCCGGTGTGAGAAGAGATTCATTCATTCTGGATGAGTCCAGATGATAAATGACTTCTTAGTTTCAACGAGCATATTTGTAATTATGAGCAACCTGCGCCTTTTTCTCTGTGCGTAACGACGTCTCCAGGACTGAAGCTGGCCTGAGCGCTCCTCGAGGATTGTCCTCTTTTTTTTTTTTTTTTAATCAAACTTGATCTGTCGCCTCTGAGCATCCAGCGTTTCATTGAGTCGTTTTTTGGTTTAATTACATGGACTTTGGGGAAGCACCGACTCCTTCCTTCCAATGACCGACGACCAGGAAACCTCAGACTCCGAGGACACGACTGCGTCCGGGAGCTCGACCTTGCCGCCGCCTCTCCGGCCGCAGAACGAGCGCCTCCAATGCCACAAGAGCAGCGTGTGCTCCCGCTCCTACTTCGTGGTGGTGATGGTGTTTTTCCACGTTTACATAATTAACGTCATCGCACTGCTGTTTTACGTGCACTACATCAGCGGACAGGAGGACGCGAGCCCGAGTCGTGACGCCCCCAGCAGCGACCATAACCACCGCCAGCAGCAACAGCAGCAGCATCAGCAGCATCAGCAGAGCACCGAGTCCAGACGGCCGCCATCAAAAGCTGAGTTTCTGCGTGATGTGTCGCTCACTAGGATCGAGGGAATAAGGGTGAGTGATGTGAGGAGGCATCATCACCACAGTTTCATCTGACACACACACACACATAGTCACTTGTGTGGTTTCTCTCTCAGGTGGGGCATGTCCAGAGTGTGTCACTGGTGCCGGGCAAAGTGCACGAAATGCGGACTCTGAGTCTGAAACCTCTGCTGTTTGGTAAGAGCCAAAACACCCATGTGGCAATAACAAATGTGCTGCTCACCCACATCAGCCTCTAGTGGCCAAACAAGTTCCTTCATCTGGTGAGAGCAGGTTCATCCAACACTTTACCTCTTCCTTATTTTCATCTTCATCACTACCTATAACCCCAGACACAAACTCTATAGACGTGTTGTATGTGTGTGTGTTTGTTAAAATCAATTACAGCAGGAAACAAACCAATAAGTCCTGAGGCACCCCCCACCCCCCCTGCTCTGCACATGTGACCCAGTTAAGGGCTTATAGCTGAGAGCAGAGATACATCTATGCCTGGAAAACACACTTAGCCATGTATCATCCTCCAGTATGCAGCCATTATGTGCACAAGAGTAATTATCACGTACAAAAGTGGAAACTTTATAGTGTATTAGGTTTCTGCAAGAGCTGCAACTGCTTAAATGCCTATCCTTGTTATGGCAGCAGTTAATTGCTACATTGGTTATTGATTAACAATGAAAAATAGCAACCATAGACTGTAAATAAAGATGGATGACACGTCTCCATTCACTCCCACTATCCAGAAATGAAGCCAAAGTATCCCAGATACGAACGCTGCCATCTTGCATTATTTGAGGCTATTGAAACAGTGTGAAACTTGATTGACAGCTGAGACTGACAAGCTATTTGTCAAGCACATGTAACGGCAACATCTTGATACTACAGGTCCTTCCCCCCCGATGGCTACTTCACAGACTCTGGCTCCAAATGAGGTTATCGGTGCAAGATAGTAACGTTCCTATCTTGGATATTTTGGCTTAATTTGTGGATAGTGGTAGAAGGTGAAGACGTGTTGTACATCTTTATATAACCCATGTATGATAAGATCTCTATTGACAAGATCTTCACTGTGCTATCATGTTAGACAAAGTAAAGCAGGAAATCAGGAAAAGATAGTTCTGCCTGAAATATGATCAAAAGAGTAATTTGATTTCAAATGAGTTCAATACAAGGTACAGATCCAATTCAATATGGCAGGTTCACAAATAAGAAAATAACTAAACAGGTGGCATGAAAGTGTTGAAATCAAACAAACCTGTTGCCCCATTCTCTGTAGCTTTATCTCAGTTAGTCTCTGTTTATTTCTGCAGAGATCCCTGGGTTCCTGTCAGACGATGAGTGTCGTGTCGTGATGCAGCTGGCTCAGCTGAAGGGGCTGATGGAAAGTCAGCTAATGGTGCAGGATGGTCAGGAAGAGCTGGCCAAGGAGCTCAACCTCAGCCCAGAAGAGATCTTCAACCTTCTTGATATCAACCAGGACGGACAGTTGCAGCTCCATGAGGTGTATGTCAGTTAATGGATCGTTGAGGACAAACTGAAGCGTGTGACGCGCAGACGTTTCTCGGCTCAGAGTTGGTTAACTCATCCTGTCTTCGCTGTCCTGTACCTCCAACAGATACTCACTCATTCTCGAGTTAGAGACGGGATTTGGCTCACGCCGGAGAACCTGCGAGAAATCTATGCTGGGCTCAAAGCTGACAAGGATGGTAACGGTAAGAAATTCATGTTATTTCTGAATTTAGGTTTTAACCAAGACTATCCACTTTGCACTTTTAAACAACATTCCTTAATATGACATAAATCTCTTATTTGTCAATAAAAGTTTGCTTGAGAAAGTGTTGCACATAATTATAAACTTAAACTGTCTAATTTAGGAGGACAATGTTATACACTATAACAACAATGGTTGTGGGTTCTGACTAAAATAAAAGTTAGGATAATTAACTATTAATCATGTTTGGAATTTCAAATGAATTCCCCTTTTAACCATCTGTGATAATATATATTTTTGTCTCAACAAAAAGTACAAATCATAGATGTTATAGGAATCATGAAATATTAATATGATTGAAACTTTAACTCATTAAGAATAATTGCATGTAATGTGTGTGATAATGCTGCAGTTGCATTTTCATAATAAGTGATCCTCAAATTATGGATGCAGCATATTAACAAAGTTAATGGATACAAACTTGATGTTCAAGGAATATTGGTTATTATATTGGCCCAATAAATAAGTGGCATCTAAGAATTAAAACCTTTTTATTTCAGCCATTAATGTTGATTTCTTTCATCATCCAAAGCTTTAGCGAGGCATCAGAATTCCTTACATTCTCATATTTGGGGCAGGATTGCTTAGTCTGGAAGAGTTCAGGCTTCTCAGCAATGATGCCTTCCAGCGCTTCCTGCTGCAGCGAGGGGTGAAGCGGAGTCAGCTGGTGAGAAACAGCAGACACACTTGGCTGTACCAGGGCAAAGGAGCACACCAGGTCCTCCAAGACATCAAGACGAGGTTGGGAAGACACATCATTTATTTCTGTGGTTCTGCATGTTCTTGCATTTGTATGACCCTTAAAGGGATAGTTCACCCAAAAATGTAAATTCACTCATTACCTACTCCCCACTCTGCAAATGGAGGGGTGGGTGAAGTGTTTGAGTCCACAAAACACTTTTGGGGTTTCAGGGGTGCTGCAGCCAAATCCATTACAATTGAAGTAAATGGTGACCATTTCTAGGTCCTTTACACCGTTTTTTGTAGCCTAAATGTTCGCTGTGATTCAAGCACAAACGCAGCTCTAAGGCTAAAAACATAGTGTAAATTACAGTACATAAGTGCATTTTCATTTTTGGGGAACCATCACATCAATTATAAGGTACATATAATCTCTCAGAATGATTCAGAAATGACTGTCCCAGACTTTCCCAATTTTTATATCTTTTCCTTCATGTTTCCCTAACACAGGGTGACTCGCCTCACCCGGCTCCCGGCCACATTAGTTGACCTCAGTGAGCCGCTCCAGGTGGTTCGCTATGAAGAGGGCGGGCACTACCACGCCCACCATGACAGCGGTCCCGTCTATCCCGAAACCGCATGCACGCACACACGACTTGCAGCCAACACCTCCACCCCTTTTGAGACGTCTTGCAGGTGAGATCACTGAGCTGCACTCCGTTTTTTAAATAAAAAACAAATCTGTGAATGTTGAGATATGATTTCATCTGTCCGCTGTGATTACTGAGCTGTGTACTGACACTCCATTGTGACAGCTGGCATGTTTGTGATACTCTACATTGTCAGTTTGGAGAAATGTGCGTGCTCGTCACTTGTTTGCAAAGTGTTTGTGTGCGTGTGTTTGTTTGCACCGTACATGTGCGTGTCAATTTAAATCTGTGTTGCACACTTAGGTACATCACTGTTCTCTTCTACCTGAACTCTGTTGAGGGGGGCGGGGAGACCGCATTCCCTGTGGCAGACAACAGGACCTATGATGAAGTGGTGCGTAATTGTGTGTGGGTCTGAAGATGTGTTCAGAGAGCCCTGCAAAAGTAATGTGTACAAACTGTGCATGTCTTTTGTATCTGTGTTAGCTCCCTTTGTTTTTTAGTGCGTGGGTGGGCCTGACGTTACACACACACAGTGTCGCTGAGTCTGATTGTGTGTTTCAGTCTCTCATACAGAACGACGTGGATCTTTTGGACACCAGGAGGAATTGTGACAAGAGTAACCTGAGGGTGAAGCCCACCAAAGGGACGGCTGTGTTCTGGTACAACTACCTTTCCGATGGAAAAGGTAGGATTCCCATGAAAACTTTACAGAAACAACACTGCATTTCAACAACTTCTCATTCCAATTTCATTCAGTGTCAGAGTTTTTAGTGACATCACTCTCATGTCAGTACGGTAGCCGGGAATTTCTTAGCTTAGCTTTGAAACTGGAAAGAGGGGAAAAAAGTTTACCCGCCTCAGTCTGCAGGAAACAAAATCCACCTATCAGCACCTCTAAAGTTCAAACACATTACAATCTGGTTTGTTTAATCAGTGTAAAAGCGTCACGTTGAGGTTTTTATAATGGACTGTCTGGTTGTTTCCACTGGTCGGCAACCTCATGTTGATGCACGTTTACCACGCAGGCATGAGTAGTAGCGACCTTCTTATCCAACTCTGTGAGAAAGTGACAATGCTTATTTGTGATAAAACTTTTCCTTTACAAATGCTACTGCAATTTCCATTTTGCAGTTTTAAACATGAATTTTATTTTTGTCCGAGATGCTGGTGCTAGTGCGACATCTAGTGGCATTGAACTTCATTTATATAACCTTTAATGTGGCATTTTTATGTTGTGCTGGTGCAATTCAGGCAAAGATCAGAAGCCAACATATAAAATGATGTGAAGAATTTGTTGTTCAAGCCCACATTGGTTTTGTTAAAGATGATCAAATATACAGAATAATAAATTTAAAGACTTTAACAGCAGTCCAAATACATTCAGTTTTAAATTAGGAAAACAAAACATGTGTCAGCCATTTTAATAAACAGAAATTATATAATGGATGTTGCTAACCAAAGTTAACAGAGGTTTTTTTCATCAATAGGTTGGGTGGGCGAGCAGGATGAATACGCTCTGCATGGCGGCTGTGTGGTCACCCATGGCACTAAGTGGGTCGCAAATAAATGGATCAACATTGACCCGGATTACCAGCGTCAGGCTCGCTATCAGCATCTGGTATCACGGCAACCAGAGGAAGAAGAGGATGATGAAGGTCTGACTCTGAACTCGGACATACAGAGCTCTAACATCCATCAAGACTTATAAATAGCTCATAAACCAAATTTATATATATACAAAAAAAATCTACCTAGCCTTCCTCAGTCCTGTGCACAATTTTTTTAGTAACATCCTCTGTGACCAGTATGTAGAGACAAGATTTATTCAGGGAACGAAGTCACAGTAGGTTTATGCAACTGTAAAGAGATGCTTTTGGTAAAATGTTGCTCAGATATTGTTATGCTGTTATTTTTTAATCAACGGATATTTCCCATTTTAGGAATGTTGCACTAGAAACTCATACAAGGAGTTGAGTCAAAAATAAAACATTCTTTTGCATGAGTTAGTTTCTTGAGGTTTTGCTGTTGCTATGAGCAGAAATTGCACTTGAAAACTGAAATGGCTCCTGTAAACATTTCAATGTCCTACCTTGTTATTACTGCCATTACCAAAAAGGCTCAAACACTCTCAGTGAGATGCATGTTGCCTTGTCTCTGATCCTTGAATTTTACATTATTTTCTGTCAGGTTCTTTAAAATTAAACTAGACACTTGTTTGGATGTTTCACTGTGTTAATTTATTATTCTTTTCATTTGCTAATGCACTGTAACACTCTCCCACACAGAATAAAAGAAAAGTAAGAAAATGTGTAACAAGTCTGTGTCCTCTTTTATCTTCCTTAAAAACAAAATGCATAAATATCAATATGATTGGCTAATTGGTTTAATTTAATTTAATTTAATTTAAAGGTTCAGTGTGTAGAATTTAGTGACATCTAGAGGTGAAGTTGCATGTTGCAGCTGAATGCTCCTCATCTCACCCTCCCCTTCCCAACATGAAAGAGAACCTGTGAACTTCAGATGTCATAAAAATCAAAATTTGGTCAAGTTTGGACGACAGTAAAAAACATGGTCGCCCCCGTAGAGAGGACCCCCCCCTCCATGTAAATATAAAGTTTTTAGATAGAAAGAGCCCAAAACAACAATTCATACAATTTAGATGAAACATACCAGTGTAAACATCACTAGGATTATTTTATATTAAATTTCTGCCAAAAATCCCTCTCACCTAAATGTTACACACTGCATCTTTAAAGGTACAGCTTGTGATATTTCCTCTTGTAGATGTTGAAATGGTTTTCCATCCTCCTTGCTTTAAAATGGAGTCTTTAGAGTTTTGTGCTGCTCTGCATGTCCTAAAATCAGAAATCAAGTAATTTTGTTAAAATTAATATGATCATATTTTATCAGGTCCTTCAATATGGGCGTATGCGACATTTGCTTTGGAATGGCCAATGCTAATAATCAGCTGCTAACTAACTAATATGTTACAAAGTGTACTAACAGGGAAATATCAACACTAAACTGTCCAAATACAGTGTGACCTGATCGTACTCACCACTGATGGCTCGTGTTTGGGAAAGGATAATGTTCCACGGTGCTCCAGACAGTAGATCACAGCATCATGAACAGAGGCGAAAAGATGTTTCTTTGTTATTGTCTCGGAGAAGAAGTCACCAAGCTCTAACTGCTCCACCACAAAGGCTGAGGAAAAAATGTTTTACACTTAGCGACATTACAGAGGTGATAGATCTTCATAAAGTACAGCCTGAAGTCAGAATGTGTTCAGTTACCTTGACAACCAGCCATGTAGATATCCACATCAATCTCACTGAAGTCGTGGAAAACCTGTTAATATGATATAAAGTGATAATTTCTCCTCATCAAATGTTAGTGGTGAAGTTTTTATCTTCAGTAATTTAATTTATGTCAAGATCTGGTGCCTGAAGGTATTGTCCATCCATCTATCTATCCACCCATTATCTATACCACTTCCACTTATATCCTTTGAGGGTCAATCACAAGGTGGGGACTGCAGCCAATCGAAGCTGACATTAGGCGAGAGGCTGTAAAAACATGGCGGACTCCGTAAAGAGGACCCTCTCCCAATGTAAATATAAAGTATTTAAATATAAAGGGCCCATTCTAGGGTAAAGAAAACCACAATTCATACAATTTAGATAAAACACAGTACTGACATTGTACAATTCCTGAGGCCTCTCCTGTTAAGACTCCTAAGATAATCTGTGTATGTTGTGCACGCATCTCAAATCACACTTACATCATTTATTAATGGGGTTTGACACCTGAATCATCTGAAAGTATGAGGGCTCTCATCTAATATTTCAAAAGGGACATTTTCTTTAAAGGATATTTGTCATTTTCATACTCACATTTGTGATAGCCTTGATAGCCACTGTGTCAATGAAGTTGGCTGTGGAGAGGTCGAGAATGATGGAGTGAATGTCCCAGGTCCAGTCGCCCAGAGAACCGAGAGAGACCCGCTCCAGGTCCCGACTCAGTGTGTCCTCACTGCTGGAGCCCAGTGTGGTGGTGTCGCCGTCTTGCAGCTCGGACATCCACCCTAAACTTGTGCCATCTGGAGCTCCCCCCTTCAGGTACTCCCATCTACTGTGGCTGTCTGGCAATTGGGGAGATGGGACGACAAACACTGTCCCGTTCTCCTTCTTCATCCAGTGATCGTCTTTGTCGCCTGTTTCCAACCATTCAGTTTCCACAGAGAACACCTGTATAGCAGGCATCTGTTTCGCTGCCCTCTGTGCTCGTCTCTGATGAGTAAGAAGCAAAATAAGTGATCTGTGAAGGACTGAAACACTGTAGACATGTTGTGATTTTGGCCATTGATCACCAATATTTTGTAATTTATACCAAGATTTTTGAACTAATTCTCTCATTACATCTGGGTAAAGTGACCCATGGGCCAAAAACAGTTGGTTGTCAGTAATTTAAATAATCCATGTTCCTGTGCTGATGTTATACATTGCCTGTATATTACCTCTTTCTTGGCCTGCCTCTTGGCCCGTCTCTCAGCTCTTCTTTCTCTACGTCTCTGTTGGGCCTCCTTCCTCCTCTTATAGATAATCATCTCACTGATGTCGAGCCCACTCTGAATATATAAAAGAAATACAAGTAAAACATCATCATCATAGAATAAAAAATATAATAACAGAAAAAGAACTAGTGATAGTTGCTTGTATAAAGACGAATTCTAAATAAGAAGAGATTGATTCAATGAATCAATTTTAGCACAAAATAAAAAAAATAAACCAAGGCATTCTTACTGTGGAAAAATTAAAAAGCCATCATTAGTGTGGCAAAAACATGTAAAGATTTTAAAATGCTGCATTGCAGTACAGTAGCCTTCATCAGGGATTAAATAATCAATTTACTTATTTCTAAACCAACACAAAAATTCTGAAACAATTTTAATAATGTATAAATTATTTGAATAATTACTCATTTAAAAACGCAAAACTTTTATTTTGGTTTCAGCCTCTAAAAAGTGACGATTTAAAACTTGACTCTTTGTCACATGATCATTCACTGAATATCTTTGGGGTTTGGAGTGACGGACAGATGAAACAAGAATTTTTACTTATTTTTGATAATTATTAATTTATGTATCAAAAGATAATTCTCAGATTACTCAACAAAAAAAAGAATCACTAGCTGCAGCTCTAGATTAGATAGTATCATTGAGAAAGAGAACAAACCTTTTCTTTCAGAGCCTCGAGGTAGAGCGCAGCATTCGCAAAATATACTGTAGCAGAGGAGCGGAATATAGTAACACCTGGAATCTCTCTCGCCTGTCAAATGGACAAACATCCTTAGCTTTTGTTGCAGTCAGTGTGTAAAAAGTTTCATTTCTGACTTTTCAATCTTTGTGTGTTACCTCTCTGTGCGTCTCTATATCCAAGTACAGTTCTGTGCCCGGAACATTTCCCAGAACAGAGTATGTTGGCCTAAATATTGAATAAAAGAAAAAATTATACATAATCTCTGGATTTTTGTACAGTATCTGGTAATCACAGTATGACCCAGATACTGCAGAGAGATGTATACTGATGAGTCTTACAACTGAGTCCTGAAGATGACAGTCAGTATATTAAAGATGATAGACACTGCCAGACCCACATCCATGTTGAGGAGCAGTGTTGACACCCAGGTGACCAACCACACCATCTGTATGTTTTATTTAGTACAACAATGAAAAGGAGACAAGAGTAATGACACTTCTTCAGTACAACAGCGGAGTCTGTTACAGTTTTTACTTTCATTGGAATTTTTAAACTGCGTAATTTATCCTCTCACCAGATCAATCTTGCTGCGCCTCCACAGTGTGACAATGTCAGAGTGCTGCTTGAACATGCCCTTCAGATTTACAAAGACAATCACGGCGAGGACAGCCTGAAACAAGCACACCCACATTTGAATTATGACTCAAAAGAAAAAAACACAAAGTCTATCAAATATAAGTTCAAAGCCGGTACATCAGTGTACAGTAATGACATGCAGCGCAGCAGCCGAACCTTTGGCAGCTCCTGGAACAGTGATCCAAGTTTCAGTATGGTCACCAACACAATCAGAGAGGAGGCCACTCCAGCCATCTGCAAGAACAACACAGGGTCTTTTGTGATTTTATTTTTTTGTTTTCAACAGGCAGGTTAACATTATTTTATTGTTGAGATGGATTCCACACATCGTTTGGAGACAACTTGACTATATGACACACATTCCAGCATTTTGTGTGGCTGATTGACCTAAAATTGATTTGGTGCATTAAAAATGCTCAAAGAAACTGTAAATAGGTTAAAAATACGAAAAGCAAATAAAAGCAAATTACTAATATTACAAAATCACACATTCAAGACATGCAGTTGAGGCCAGCTTGTTATATTATTTCATACGTAATAATTATATTTTGACACAGCCTCCTTTACTGATGCTCCCTCACCTGTGTTTTTCCTCCCGTGGTCTCTTGGACAAGACTTCGAGACATAGACGCACAGACTGAGTAGCACTGAAAAAAGCCTCCCACTGTGTTACTCAGACCCAGCGCCACCAGCTCCTGAAGCAGAGTGGGGGACACAGTCACAAGAATTAACAGGGAAATACAGAGAGGGAAATACAAAACATTTAAATAATAGCATGTTAATAGTATTAGCACGATTCATGCGATATTAGGGGTGAATTCTGACTCACCTGGTTGCTATCCACCTTGTATCCGTGTTTCAGTGCAAATGTTTTTCCAAGTGAAATAGATATGGCATACCCAACAATGGCCAGCGCTATAGCATCACCCATAACTTCTCTGATAATGTTGAAGTCTGGAACACTGGGGGGACTTAAACTGGCAAACAAGTAGAGGACAAGAAGATCAGATCATATATGAACAATGAACATTATAATAAATATAAATAATGTATAAATATAAAGCTATATAAAGCCACTGTGGTGAACCAGGGAGAGTTGATTGGCACAGTTGAAGTTAGTTGGCTCTCCCTGGATTGAAAAGGCAGCAGAAGAGCTGCCACAAAGAGACGCATGAGGAAGAAGAAACAAGGAGAGACACATGAGGAAGCTGAGCTGTCACGCCAGCAGAAACTGCTAGCCAATTTATATTTAGTTCAATTTATGTTTGCTTATGCGTTAAAGACGAAAAGCATGTGAAAAATTGAGACCCTGGTGGCATCATCCTTTGCCAAACTTACCCACTAGGAATTTCTCCAACAACTGAAACTGTGTAGTTCATGTTCAAGTGGGAATAGTGTGAAATCAGTGTTGCTGCTGCAATCTAAAGCCAACACAGAAAAAACAGTGAGAACACAAACATACATCAAAAGCCATATGTTCAACACATTTCAAACCTTCAATCATTAAAAATCTGGTCAATCATACTCGAGATCTGGACCTAATAATTAGCCACAAGAATCTCCTTTTTGCTGTGAAGTGCACAAATGCAGAGGCCCTGGTGCTGTCGCTGATTCAGCTGCTTTTCAGCACTGCAGCATCAGCACCGGCACAGAGGTGATAACATAAAATGAAGCCAGAGAGTGTCTGCGTGTCAACTGACTGTTATAAGCTCCATTGGGACAGGCACTGGCAGTTTTGGGCCAAGGAAGGAGTTTAGTTCCTTGGCTGCGATTAGAAACACCATGGACACGGCACTGACCACCAGAGTGGGAAGATGAGTCTGCGGCAGCAAAATGCAAACGTCTTTCAGAGTCTGAAAATAAAGAAATATGAAGGAGCGAGTTAAGACTTGCTGCTGCACTCATAACAACACACAGGCTAAGCCACACACAGCTTTGTAATCATTTGTCCTTTTAAGTTATAATTAAGTATAAAATTACATTTTAATCTTGTTAGCTTTTTTCCATATATTATGGAACACTTATCTAACAACAGGAATAACTATGAAATGGCACATGCCCACTGGCTTTAGAATGCGGTATTCCCTAGTTCTAGTTGGCTCCACCTCCAGTTTAGCCAGCTACCAATAATACACATCTGTCCGCATGGCCAAGAGGATAAGAAACCATGTGTAATGTTGTCAGTGGCGGCTGATGTGATCAGTCCACCTTGGGGCCTCTCGTCTTTACATGTTAACTCGTTTGTGTGGTTGTTCAAGGGTTTTGACTTTCTCTTTATGATAATCTGTAAATGTTAACTACAGCGAGGCACTCTGATAAAAGGGTTCTAAAAGGGTGGTGGCCTGAATACATTTTGTTAAATACAGGAAAGTCTAGTTTAGTCAGACAGACAGGTTTTTCTTTTTTTCCTTTGATTGGGATGGTCAGTCAGGGGAGAAGGGACTGGTTATAGGAAGAGGTTTTGCTCATTTCTTATTTTGTGTGGTGTCACCTGCTGCCCCTAACCTATTGTTCCATCCTCACCTTGTTTAATGCTGGTTAGTATTGCATATATGGACCTTATTTTGCACCACTACAATAAAAGGCTACTCTGCCAGATAACATCAGCACTGTGTGTTTGGTTGTTCACAACAGAAAAAGTTCTCCACATGATCCATGATGCATTTTAATCACAATCAGCCAAACTGTTGGACAGTGCAATGGGATAAGTATTGGAAGTATTGGATCAGCAAAAACAGAGAAAAAAGAGCCAAATATTTGACAGCACTCACATACACCAGTGACAGTGGCCCATGAAACCTTGTTGGTGAAACGCCAAAGATGTACTTCAGTTGTGCCACCACGGCATGGCCTGATGCTGCGGTCGTGTACGCTCGCACCAGAGGCTCCGACAAGTATGTTGCCACAAATCCAAACTTTACCAAACCCAGGAACACCTACACAACAGCCATTAATGCACATTTGAGTTTGGATGTACCAACAAAGCAGGACAGTATTACTTCTGTAGGATGCTGTGTTAACACCTGAATCAGTCCTCCCATGATAGTGGTGGCAGCCGCAACTTGCACCCTGTATGAGTCCCGGGCAGCGATGTCCACCTCTGAAGTGACGTTTGTCCCATTCATTATGGGGAAATCCTTATCTGGAGCAAGTCTTTCCGTCACACTACCCACCATGATGCTGATCATGGTGAATGTACCTTAGCACAACAGCAACATACGTTATTACAGATGTTGTAATGGCCATTGTATATTAGTCTCCTTCTCTACTTACCGATGGAGATATGACGTGATGTTCCAAAGAAGAAGTAGATTAATGTTGGATAGAGGGACGAGTAGAGGCCAAATACAGGAGGTAAGGAAGCCAACAATGAATATGCCATACCTGTGGAAAACAAGTCTTTCTCAGTTTGCAAACATTAAGTTATACTAGTTTTACTGGAAAATGAAATACTCTCCAGACAGATGGTGAATATTAAGAAGCAGTTGAATAAAGTCAAAACTACACATTAGGTTTCTGTTACATGTGAGACAGGACTGAGGTTTTTCTGTAATTTTGTTATCTACGTAAACATGATGTCATACCTTGAGGCAAGTGCATTATGCCCACACTGATGCCAGAAATAAGGTCTGGCATGCCATAGTCCAAGACTGAGTATTTGGGCAGCCAGGATAATACAGGGAAGAAGCTCATCACGCTTCTTTTGAGTTTGGGTACTGAACATCTGGAAAGGATTTGAAAACACAGTCTGATTTCAAAGCGTACATTTACTGAAGATTTTGGTCTCTGGTCAAGTAGACAAAGTCATGAAGTTTACTTTACCTTAAGGAGTCTTTAAGTCGTTTGGTCAGAGGAGGGCGCGATTCAGAGAGTTTTTTTCTCTGTGTTATCTCCTCCAGTCTCTGCTCGTCCAACACGTCCCTCTCCACTCTGTATTTCCCATACCTACGTGCAGAATCCATTGAGCTTACTCTGTCAAACTCTGGGCAAAGTTTACTTCAAATGGCTCATCGACCTGTTCACCAAATGCATACGCTCCAGCTCAACTGAGGACCAGCTGCAGCAGAACAATGTCAGCAGTGACTGGACAGGCCTTAAATTCTTCTTTGGCCACAAGACAGCTGACTCTGAGGCTGCAGGGACCAGAGGTGTGCAAAATATTTTAACTGGAACTTCACCTGCCCCTCCCTCCCACCCACCCTGTCTTCACCCCCTAGATACTGCACCACCCCCTCCTCCAACCCCCTTCATTATAAAATACACTTCATTCAATTTTGGTACAGAGTAATGACAAAAAAAAAAGGTACATACATACATTTGGTTAAATTTGGTCATTTGTTTGTAGAAGACATCACTGGTTTGGTGCAGATTAACTCCAGCACATAACTTACAGACGACGTTACTGTGTCCAACAGAAACCTGGTATGAACTGGGCAGTTTTTCAAAAATATGCCACACTGCTTTACAACTAAAGAACTGGTGGTGAACACTAAGACTTATATACTGTAAATACCTGGGTGTTCACCTGAACAATAAACTGGACTGGACCGATCATGCCACTGCGCCTCTTGTAGTATGAACGAGGAATATGGTGTTGGCTCCCTGTAGGAACTAGTCCCCCTGTACTTTGCATATAGTAGACTACTTATTTCCCTATCATTGTAAATATTTAAATGTGTTAATATTTAGTTCTTTTATCGAATTAGGAGCTCTTTTGCTCACTGCTGTTTTTGGTCCTATGATTAGTTATTTTCCCCTAATTTCTTAAACAATATTAGTTTATTTGTCTTTTATTCCCTTTCATTAATTTGTTGTCAGTGTCACTGATTAGCCTTAATGGTGTTGTTGAGTTGCTCCTGTTAACATTATTTTTTGTTTTTTTGTTTGGTGATGTGAACACAATAAAACGGTGTTACTGTTCTGTTAATATTAGCAATATCATATTTAACTTTCTAGTTTTGTAATAAATAATTATTTTTCTAACCCTACTTTCCCTACAGCTTTTATTCATGGAGCAAGTACTTTATCTTTTAAAAACTATTTTTGAACTGGAAACTCACGTCTCTGCTTCCCTTCTTTGTGAAAGAACATGTGTACTTATTGGGTAGTTATTCTCTAGGTGGAATTGGCATCGTTGCGTTCCTGTAGTCAAGGTCTTTCTGCTCCGTTACATGTGCAATATTAATTTCTGCCGGTGTAATTTATGGCTAATGTGTAATCTAATTCACTGTACATATTCTCACTGTTTATTATTTCCATGCCATTTGTATTTTTATATTTCCTTTAAGTATTGCATCTTTACTTACTACTCTACAGTTGCAAATTTCTATCTCACTTCTACATCATGTTGCCTAATGTTTAACTATACAGTCATGAAGACATGGACACTGGCATGACAACAACCGGAAGAAGCACAGGAGGCAATTATCATCTTAAAGAGGAGAAAGATTAACTATGCTGAATTTCAGTTATATGTTTGACATCTGAGTTTCCATCCTCTCTGTTTTTTCCATTTAGTGGCAGAACTAAAACTAACGAACCATGAAATGTCACCTGAAGATCAAGTTACACTGGTCAACTGAGTCAGAAGTTGTTGTTTTTTCTTAAGGATTCTCCTATACAAAATTACAGGTCAGAAAAGTTGGAAACCTACATTTTCCAACTTTATTGTAGTGGGTGCAACAGTCTCAGGAACAGGTATGTTAAAGAATATACATATTAGAAAAGTTATGTCCATGTGTGCTTGCAGTGGACACTGGGCCTTTAACAGGGAGCTGTCAGGAAATTTGAATCCCAGCTGGTTGCGTCATTCGAGGGCTGCAAACACGCGAGTGACGCAAACAAACTATAGTGGAGAATTATCCAAAACAAAGGACAATATCACGCAGAGGAGTGAAACTATGAAAAGTCAAAATAATTCACAGTATCACAATATCACTGCTTTAAAAACCTTCTCAATCCAAATCACTCAAACCCTTCTGACCCACTTACTGTCTATTTTTGGGTCAGCGGCTCAGAGGGCCGCAGCGGTGGAGGGGCTACATATCTTTGTTTCAGCCACTCGCTGACCCCCCGACTGACAAATTCGGCAACAACATCGACACATGTTGCCCGATGAAAAACATGGATCTCTACTGGTCTTTTTAGACCAAAGATAACAGCAGATAAGAGGCGCTGACGACTTTGGTAAGAGATGTTACAAGGAGCTGCTGTACTGCATGATCACTAACATGTTCATAGACAATTGTGGCATTTTGCTTTATATAATACTAACCAGGAAAGTTCATCACAATGCTAGCTGCTACATATGTTCATGAAAATGTCATGTTGTTATTGCTGCAGGCATCACCAAGATGCTTCAATAACTCTTGGTCAGAATATTTGTGAAGTTGGATTAACTGCAAATCAATCAAAAATAACATATTGCTTATCTTTTCCAAATGTATTTATGTCAATATTTTTAAGATTAGGAGGCTACTGCAAAGCCAACAGTTGACATTTCTCAACAGTTTTGGTATTGAAAACAAATATCGCATGACTGTACAATTATTGACATATGGCTTGATATAAGAGCCTGACCAATATGGATTTTTAGGAGCCGATATGAAATGCTGATATAAACAATGACAGATTGCGATATTTCTGCAGGTAAATATATTTAAACAAAAATTGGCACCGATTCCCAAGATGACATTATCAAACCCTGATAAAGAAATGTAAATGAGGCTTGATATTTCACGGTTTAACCATAATGTAAATTATAACTATAAAAAGAAAACATGAATACAACCAAATAGAACTTGAAATAAGAAAATAGACACATTTTACATCACTGTGCATCCTTTCTGTAATGTTTATTCTGATAAATGCTCATATCTGCAAACATAAACACTCATGTGTGTGAGCTCATATTGGATTGGTTAAGTCGGGCTCTACTTGAAATGGTAGTAATTTAGTTTCTGATTTTGTTTTCCAGACACCTCTTCACTAGTTGTCCATAAGTGCATAAACTCTCCTCAGTAACTTTTAAATCGAATTGGAGCAAAATGGATCTTACAGGCAAACATGGACTGGTCCTGCTGCAGCAGTTGAGGAGGATGAGGGAGTCTGAGCATCTGACGGATGTGGTGCTGGTTGCTGAGGGCATCAGCTTTCCCTGTCACAGAGTTGTACTGTCCGCCTTCAGCCCTTACTTCCGTGTTATGTTCACGTGTGGCCTTCGTGAGTGCAACAACAGAGAAATATTCCTGCGCGACACCCCTGCAGAAAGCCTGGCTCTTCTCTTGAACTACATGTACTGCTCCGATCTTCCTCTTACTAACTCCAATGTTCAAGGCATCTCAATTGCAGCTTTTCTCCTGCAGATGGACGACGTCTTCACACGCTGCCAGCAGCACATGACCGAGAACATGGACGCCTCCAACTGCCTTGGTGTCTTTTATTTTGCCCGGGACCTCGGTGCAGAGGAACTGGCTGACCACGCTCAGCGCTTCTTGAGGCAGAACTTTGTCGAAGTCTGCCAGAATGAGGAGGTGCTGGAGCTGGAGGCTCATCAGCTGGGGAAGCTCCTGAGTTCTGATGACCTTAACGTTTCCAGAGAAGAGACCATCCTGGATGTGGTCCTCCGCTGGGTCAAACACAGCACAATGACAGATGGAGAGGTTCGTATTTGGCACCTTCCAGAGCTTCTGAGGAAGGTTCGCTTACCACTGATAAGCCCCGACTATCTAAGGGAGGCGATGAAGAGAAATACAGCACTGCTGGCTGAAGCTGAATGTCTACAGATTGTGAACGAAGCCTTAGAGGCCACAGCGATGCATCCCTCAGCTGCACCGCGTAAACTGAAGCTGCGGTACGGCATGGAGACTACAGACCTGCTGCTCTGTGTCGGCAATGACAGTGGTGGGATTCGGTCAAGATATGGCAACTATGCTGAGCGCAGCTTTTGCTATGCCCCATCCACCTGCCGAACCTACTACATCACTTCACCTTGCTATGGAGAGGCTCTGGGGTATGTGTGCGCTGGGGTTGTAACTAAAGGAAATGACATTATCGTGGCGGGAGAGGTAGGTGTCCGCAGGATGGCCCGGCAGAAGGTCATGAATGTTGAAATCTACAGGTAAGATGAATATGAAACATTTTACATTTCTTCATTTGCTTGCCTCACACAGACTATACTGTTTGTTGTGTTGGGTTGTAGGTACAAAGTCAAAGCCCAAGGAAGCTGGGAGCGCCTAACATCTGCAGAGTACCGCGATTCTTATACCCTGGGGTCCCTGGATGACACGCTGTACCTGGTGGGTGGGCAGATGAGGCTGAAGAACCAGTTTCTCATCACTAACTGTGTGGAGCGATGGTCTCTGCAGGGCGGACCATGGCGGAGCGCAGCACCACTGCCTATGCCTCTGGCCTATCACAGCATGGTCAGAATGAAAGATCGCCTTTATGTGATAGGTGGTCGGACCCCACAGGTGATGTGATGTGAAAAACACCTTTACTTATGTGTTAATTACACAAAAAACTGCATTCAGCCGTGTGTGACTGTATAAAGAGTTTGTACACTTTTAGTAACTGGCTCTTCTCAGACTGCACCTGCTCTGCTCTGTCATCCCCTAACTCCCCTTCGTCCAACCAGTCATACCGGACTGATGATGAGCCTGACCGTCTTAGTAACCGCCTTCTGGTGTATGACCCAAACACAAACAAGTGGACAGAACTGTGTCCCATGAGATACTCAAAGTACCGCTGCAGTGCTGTGGAACTCAATGGTGACATTTTTGTAATGGGTAAGATTTTTTCAATATACATATTTCAATCCATATTAGTTCAGATGTATTTCATTTTTTCCTTTTAATCATATTCTATATGCACAGACATGATATGGCCATGATTCTGATAAATTATTCAAATTACACTTATTTCTTTTTGGAAAGTTATACAATTTGACAATGACCTGACGATGATTTTGAACCTATGTATTGTAGGAGGCATTGGCTGCGAAGGTGTGGACCGTGGCCAATCACGCCACTGCCTTGATGCTGTGGAGATCTACAACGCAGATGGAGATTATTGGAGAGATGGACCCCCTCTCCCATGTGCACAACTCTCCCTGCGCACCAATGCCTGTAATGCAGGAGTAGTGGGAGGCAAGATTTATGTGTGTGGATACTACAAAGGAGCAGGTGAATGAAATGAAACAAAATCCATATATATTTTAAAAAATATGTTTGAAATTGTTTTTGAAGGTAATTCTCCATCTGTGTCTGCACCACCTTCCTCAGATCGTCACGATGACATAACAAAGGACATTTTGGAGCTGGACCCACGGGACAACCGGTGGACTGTGGTGGCTCGGCACGCGCTGATGCACGACAACTATGATGTCTGCTTGGTGGCAAATCTCAACCCAAGGGGACTCATGTCCCCTTCTGCAGACTTAGTGAAAATGTGACATCCCTGTCACATCAGATCAAAGTCTGTTTGTTAGAGTTAGTGAAGGATATTAATTATTAATGCACTTATCGCTGGGCCAAAGGCAGAGAGGTAGAAAGATTCTTAGTGCTCTGCATGAAAGAGGAAGTTGATGATTTGCACGTTTCTGAATGAAAATAGAAAGATAATTTGTAAATACTGTTTTCATCTTTTTTTATATTCAGGCCCTTTTCACGGCAGGCTTTTGAGACAGGTTTCAAATTTAAAATGAATTTCATTGAGCTGCTTCAGTTTCAGTGTCCTGGTATCCTACATTATGACTCACTGTCACACTGTCATGTTTTACTGGGACATTTAAACTGGGCGATTATTAATGTTATCAGACATCTCTGTTGTGAAAAAGGCCCATTGTGCAACATCTGCAGAGAAGACTGATCAACTGAAACCTGCAGCAGTGAATTTCAAAGCGGAAATATTATTAGCAACACCAGTATATGGTGTCCTTTGCCATTAAACAGGTTTGAATTATGATTAGACTGAACCTATTTCCATACAAATTAAACCAAAATGCTAAATATCTTTAAACAAATATAATTTATATAGTTTTTCCATATATAGGCTGTTAATCAATTTGTTGTTTTTTTCTTGAGGTTGTTTTTTAGGTAAGCTTGCCAAATCAAAAATCTGTTAAAAAAACTGCAAATAAAAGCACCTTAGCAATTTTATGAAGCATTGTTGTTGAGGTATGAACACAGACTGTTTTGTAAACTTTTCAATTGTTATAAAAGTTTTTAACTAATGCAGTCTTACACAAGAAGAACAGCCGAACATGGAGCAGGGTATTGGTGAGATGTATGCAAGGCGATATGAAGAAGAAACGGGAAGGTTACACTTCTACAACCCAACGTATCTTTACCAGTACCAAATTCAAACATCAGTTACAGGAATCGTGAAATAAGATTGTAGACAAATTCCAAAAGAATAAGAATATCTTTGCCAAGCTTTTCAGTTTATTTGTAATTTTAAGTCAACGGTATGAGTAATGAATAAGTTACTTTTATAAAAAGTCAGCAAAGAGAACTGCTACCAGCAACATTTGTTTTGGTAAGTAAATAAAAAACATTTATCACTGGGTAAATTTTTCAAAAAACTGAATCCATAAATAACTGAACACAGGCACAATAATAATAAATATATTAATATAAAAATAATACACTTTTTTGCCTCCAGAAATATGAACACAAAGTCCTCACTGCCGTAAGTCTTTTACTCATTGTCTAAAAGCCAAACTCAGAATCACAGTCCATGTCAAACAACTGCCAGAAGCCTTTCACTGGGGTCCCTGCCTTGGTCTCAGCTGACAGCTTCCCTAAAATGGGTTCGATCTCTCTAAGGCACGCAGAGCTGTTGCTGTCCTGAGACCAGCAGCTGAGGGGGGTGAGGAGACACCCTGCAGTTTTACTGGACCTCTTCTCCCTGCACAGCACTGACAGACAGTCTGTGTTGTCACGGGTGGTTATCTTTTTCAGATCACAGCGTTCACTGCGGGCTGATGAAACATTCTGCACTTTCTTGCAGTTTATCAGAGACTGACTGTTTTCATCAGAGACTGAGCATTTCTTCCTCTGTGAGAGTGTCGACTGTTTCTTCGTGCGCTTCTTGTAGCTTCTGGATTTCCTCTTTCCAGTGCTGCAGCTGTGATCCTGAGGGAGAACTTCAACCTGTTTGTGTTCAAGTTCGTGCGGTGTGCATGTGAGCTGTGTGCCTTTGAGCTTGTTGTTCTGAAGGATGCTGGAGGGCGACTGTTCCAGTGAAGTCTGGATGCTCCTGTCCATCAATCTCTGAGGGCCAGGTTTGGCTGTATGCTCTGAGACAAGGGTGCTGAGCAGCTTCAGGGCCTCTGCAAGCAAGTTCCGTTCTCTCTCTTGCTCCTCTCTCAAACTCTCAAGACTACTCTGCAAGATTTGCAGATTTGAACCAAGTTCTGCTGTGGTGTCTGCACTCTAAAGGAAAAAAATAAACAAGTGTCATGATCACTGATCAGAATCAATTATCAACAACCACATTTTATTTGAAATTGTAGGTGTCATAACCATAACATGCTATTCACCTTTTTCACACTTTTCTCCAGCTCTGTCATCACCTCGTTGTGGGAGTTCACTTTAGTGACCAGAATCTCAAAATACTGGGAAATGTCATTCTGAAGACTACTCATATTATTGTGCACTGGGAGGAACCGATAAAAACAAGATAAAATAGGACAAAAAATTAAAACATTCATGGAACTAGATTAAAAAAAAAAGATTTTAATATTGGGCAAAGTGCACCATCTACTGGTGGAAACCTTATTGCCTTGCATACAGACTTTTTCCTAAATTAACTACAGCTGCACTAACTCAGAGTGTAACTATAAATGAATACATATCAGGCCCTTCTGAAACTTACAAGTTGATGCAAAGTTGTCAAAATTTTCAAGGACTGTTTGGAACACAGCCATATTTCTCTCTGTGCCAGTTACTAGTTGTTTGATCTGAAAAATGTTGCAGCATTATTTTAACATATTACATCACTGAAGAGACGAGCTGGAAAATTGAAAAAAATGAATGTCTATCATCACTTACATTGTTGAGAGTTTCTCTTGTATGTTCACTCTCTTTGGCTAAAAGTTCGCTGTTAAAAAGAAAAAAGGTAATTGGGGCCATTTTATGTCTTTTGTCAACTCTAACTTGCTTTTATATAATTTCACCCTATTTAACTGAAATTTAACACCGATTGCAAATGTCTCATTTTTTTTAATGTTTTCTAAAAATATAGTATA